ATGGGCATTCTTGGCAAAGATACTGGAGTGGCATTGCCATTTCCTACTCCAGGTGGATTGCATTTAGTCGGAACTCTCCACTATGTCCTGTCCGTCTTGGGTGTCCCTGCACGGCATAGCCCATAGCTTCTCTGAGTTACTCAAGCCCCTTCGCCACGACAAAGCAGCAATCCATGAACGTAGTGGGATTATATTGGTTTAAAATTATTAAACACTCACAAACATGCTGAGTTCTTCAAGTCACAGTATCTGAGAAAGTATGAGATCTGAAGTCCAAAATATGTGTAAAAACCCAAGAACCAGAATTATTCTCTGAAATAGAGTCCCCCCCCCCTTGGCGGGATCCTTTGCATTTAACAAAGAGTAACAGGCTGCTGTGAGTAAACAAGAGCTGATATAAACAAAGGGAGTCAGCCATCTCAGCAGATCACTGGTGAAATTCCAGTTTGGCCAGCCACCCAAGGACCACCCCATTCAAAACCAACTAATGAGAGAACTAGATATGCTGCCTTGAGCTCGGTGGAGAAAATTTAGGCTACAAATATCTCAGACAAATAAGCCTATGCATAGAAGCAGCTGGCTGGATAGCTCAGTGAGTCAGGTATCTGACTGCAGAGCCAGATGTTGGGAATTAAGTTCCCCACTGGGCCTCTCAGGGCAAGAACCAGTATGCAAGAACATTGACTGTTTGGATATTATAGACTTACGAACACTTTAATAGGGAGTACATCATTTTGAACATTAAAGATGCTGTACTAAAAACTCACAGGTAGTAAGGATGGCTGAGAAGGTGGTAGTTTTTGTATCAAGATTATCTACCAGATGCTGCACAAAGGCTTCTGATCTCTCCTAGGAAATTGAATGTTGAATTTCCTCTCCAAGAAATTTCCTGGGATCCATATGTGACGGCTGCGATGACATCACCTGCCTATCAATGTTATGCTGGAGCTCAACTGCCTATAGCAGGGCAGGAGGTGGGACTCCAGGAGGTGGAGCTATGTATATAAGGGGGGAGTGGATGATGTGTGAGAGATTAGCTAGGATGAGAAGATAGAGTTTGAGTTAGGGCATGTATGTTAGGAAGTACTGTGTTAGATAAGGTCTGAGTGATAGAGTGACTGAAGGGATTCTTTATTTTATTGATTGACATATTCTGTTCTTATAGTGATTTACCTTATATTAAGTTGTACTAATAAACGATAATTTTTATTTTTAAAATCCATACCTTTGTCTGAAGAGTCAGATATATGTGTGTGATTGGTGGCAGCGTGTTAAGAGAAAGAAAGTGTAAAGTGGTGTCCCCTCTGTGACGTATGAGGAGGCGGCCACACCATATTATAATACATAAGCTAAAGAAATGTGGAGAATAAGTAGACGAGAGAATAAGGGAGAGGAAATATGAAATAAAGTATTTCACTGTAAAGGCAGGTAATGAAGTTTTCAGAAATGGTTGCAGCTAGTACCATCTTTCCCAAGCTCAAAATAAGGACAACCAGAAGAAGTAAAATTATGGATGAGATTGGTATTCTAGTAAGGCTATTCATGAATGCATCTAAGTTTGATTTCAGGATAACATCACCTTAATAGTTAAGGATCTCTCCAATTTAAAAATAAACTAATTAGATTTTTTAGCTCATTAAAAATGAGTGAAATTAGCAGTTTTCAGAGAAGTAGCCCTGTTTGTCTATTTTGAGGGGATGCAGGATGGCAGAACCAAAATGTATTGTGTAAGACTAATAGATTTGTTTGAGTGTGAGCTTTTGTAAATTTTGAAATCTGCTTCTTCATTCGCAGGGAATATAATACCTGAGCCACAGATTTGAAATTAAGTATGTTAACCACTTTTGACTAACTTCCTCATTTCTGGAAAAAGCTGTGTAGGCACAGCTTTTTCCAGAAATGAGGAAGTTATATATATGAATGTGACAAGCCTATTTGTGAATACATGTCATAAACGTTCGCTCATTAAGGAGCTCTCATTGACTGTGGCATCCTGTGTTTTGCTGCAACATGGTATGTGCAGTGGCACTCATTTCTGAAATGGGTCCTCTGTTACCAAGGGAAATTATCCTGATAATTACCAAAAAGTGTAGAGACACAAATTGTCGTAAATCGTCTTTAAGATACCACAAGAAATTAGCATTGAGAACAATAGACATTGACAATTATTAGAAATTATTTTTTTACTTGTCTTGTTAGCAAAGGTGTGTGTTTTAAGGAGAATTCAAACTATCCATGGAATTTTATCCACGAAAGCTTGCAATTTGTTTAATTTTGAGTCATGCCCAGTCTTATATTTGTGTGATCTTGGAGACCAGATGACCTTTTCTTCTTTCTCTATTTTTTCTGATTACTTTAATCAATATGTTTGCAGTGGAGGTTCTTCTTAAATGCAGACACTGTGGGTTTGTATAGTGCCACGAAAAGGTGAAATATGAAACAAATACTGTATGAAACAAATGTGGTTTTGAAGGTACAGAGGATTCTTTGCTATCTAGTTTAAATAGTCTTCATTTTACATTTTAAAATGACCCTTCTAGTTTTTTTTCAAAGGGGGGAAATGAATCTCCTCCCTGTCAGTTACCCAAGACTTCAGGGAAGATAAAAATATAGGCTAGTTAAAAACAGGAAAGACTGGTCCCTATTTTAGCAGTCTGCATCTACTCGGACAGATAACTGTGAATGTGATAATCTTCCAGTGGACTGAGTTAATTTCATGCTATCCAATAGAAATGCACTACAGGCCCCTCTGTTTCTTTGCTGTTAAGTGAGTCAGTGATTGTCCAGAGAGAAACAAAAAAAAAAGGCGGAGGAACAGGAACAGTGTGTGACTTTAGAAGCCTATTTTTCTTTAGTGGTGGGGGAAGAAAGGCAGCAGCTCTTGCTGCTTTTCAGAAACTTCCACCAAGATGTCATTTCCAAATAGCTCTTCCAGGACCCGAAAACACAAATTGATATTGTCTGGGGTTGTGGTTCCTTTAGTTATACTACTTGTTATTGTGTTGCTTGTTGTGTTGATACCAGGAAGGAAAAAGAGTCCCACTTCAGAGGGTCTGGAGTGGAAAGGCAAAGGGACCGATGAATACTTCCATGAAATCATCCTGGGGAGATGTTACAACTATATTGCTACAATAAACTCTGAGCTCAGGTGAGTACTAAGAATGCACTAATTAAAAAATTAAAAAATTAAAGTAGGATGCAGGCTGGAAGGAATTGTAAATGACTATGAACATCAGTAGCTGAACTGGGTTGCAGGTATCTACAACATTTTTAACTTTATTATTATTTATTGCGACCATAGGTCAGCCAGGTCAGACACACAAAACTAAAATGAAATAACAGATCATATAGTATTTACAAGCAATATAAAGCAGACTAAAATTCAAATTGCAATTAAGTGCAAGTTTATAATCTGATTATTCCAGTGTGTATCATTTGTTTTCCACTGGAGAGAATTTTGCAACCTTAGCTATAATTTAATTTTTGGAATCAGAGAGGAAAAAAGAAATGTAAAATGTATTGGATCTACCTGGGTAATGTTTTAAAACTGGAGAAATAAGTAGTGCAGTAGAACAGGACATATTCCAGTTTCCATCATACCAGATTGTCAAGGGCAAACATGTTGCTCATAAGGAATATGTATATTCCTTCTAGAATGGCTAAAGGCAGAGAAGTGAAATAAGTCAGGGTGAAAGCTCTCCTGTGTCTCACAAATTTTAATTTGCAAAAGTAATCTGCTGGGATGAAGATCTTGCTGTGATTCCCAGCTACTAATATGAGGCCCACACTTTATTAAGTTGGGGGCCTATAGCCCAGATCCACTTCCTACTGGTCTCTTTGGCATTAAATTACAGATGTAACAAAGCTGAGGGGGATAATTCATATAACAATTTCTCTTCCATTGCTCTTGTCCAGCCTGAGATATGGTTGTGTATTAGAATCAGAGGTGCTAAACCAATAGGATTATGTTTTAATTTCATCCAAAGATTGATTATTTGAAGTCACAGATTTGCTTCAAGTGGGGAGTCATTCTAATCTGAGTAGGACAGAAGGAATATAGCATGGCACACCAAATACAGTTCTCAGGAATTTAGACTATACTGCCCCAAGGGGTAGAAGTCTTTATGTATGCATAGGCCTGAACTACAGGTATATAGAAGTTGGGCCTTGGAAGACTTTTAGGTTGCAGGTATCTGTGTCATATGGGGTGAGATAAGAAGCTGATTTTTCAGCCAAATTCCTTTTTAGAAATAATAAAAAGCCATCTTGAAAACTAGTGAAACAATCCTTGTATTGGGCTGACATATGTTCACATTTCGTACATGAATATGATTTTCTTTGGCTTGTCAACCTTTTTCTTGAACCAAGGACCATTATCTACATTTTCAAAAGAAATGTAACTTTTTCTTGTATAGTGTGTGTGTGTGTGTGTGTGTGTGTGGACTCTGTATGTTGATTTGGTTTATTATGTCTATGTGAAAGCTCACTAACGATCTGAAGCAAGAATTTTAAATGAAGTGTAGAAAAGGAATGTGTAAGATTGTCTAAGTGCACACGTGATCAAATGAGGGCAGAGATGTTATTAAAAATAATAGAACTACAAAAATTTCTAAGTATTCAAAGAGGTAGAAAAAGCTTGTATAATCGCGTAGTCATCCATTCAACAACCACACAAGGTGTTATCTCCATATTGCAGATGGTGGAGAGGTCTAATGAAGAAAAATTCTTAGTTGGTGATTTCATCAAGTAATTTTCATGATAAAATTCAAATCGTCCAGCTAGTGATAATTTTTGGAAATTAAAGATTTCCACCCAATCCAGCAACCCCCAATGGTATCACATAATTAATAAGATCCCAAGCTATCCTCAGAAGTTTGGCTGGAGGATCAGGAATTTGTCATCAGTCTTACTCACCACAAGCTACTTTACTGGATTTCAGCTAACAAGTTCATTGTATCCTACTCTCATATGAGTACACACAGGACAGCAGCCTTGAATCAGAATCCCATGTGATTCAGAATTAAGATCAACTAAGTTGAATGGCGTTTAATTTTAACATTGCAGCTTTAGATCCAGCCTGGGAGATAATTATTGAAATATCTAAGTAAATTGAATAATATGTGGCCATTTGAGCAGGGAATTGGCTAGATGGTTCAGTGAATTAGGTATCTGACTTCAGAGCCAGAATTCAATTCCTCGCTGTGTCACCCAAGAGAAGAGCCAGCCTGTATAGTAAACTGTGTAGTAAACTGTGCCTCCAGAAGAATGCAATGGTAACTAACTTCTGAGTATTCTATACCGAGAAAACCCTGGAAAAGGGGAACCATTGATCAGCATTTACTTGATGGCACAAAATTCGTTTGCTTTCTCCTCAACCACTCTGCAGCCTTTGCCATTAAAACTTTTCAGGCGATTTGGAGTGGGGCCTAGAATTACAAAGAAATGTGCTAATTTGTAACTATTTATTGCCTCAACATTTTTTTCAAAAACTAGATAAGCAATAGTATTGAATGTGTTGCAAAAGCTTTCAATGAACCTGATAAATGTGTTGTAATGCTTCTACCAAGACGTGAGTACTCAAAAGACACGTCATACAAGAAAAGTTTGACATTTCTTTTGTAAAGTCATAGAATCATATCCTTGACAAATGGTCATCTAACCTTTCTTTAAGAGAAGGTACTGTAGTTATTCCATTGTCAAACAGTTCTTACTGTCTTATAATCTGAATCCATTAAGTAGAGTCCTACCTTCTTGAGCGGTAGAAAACAAGGTTTCTCTGTATTTCACATGTGGAAGAAAGATCAGTGCTCTGTATTTCTGTTAGAGGCTTAATGTTGAGCCATCTCATGTTTGTGAGGAAAACACAAAATCAGCAGAAAGAAAAGTTACCCACTTCTGGTCAGCGAATTCTGTTAATGGTTTAGATATCTGACTACATAGCAAGAGTTTGGGAGTTCAGTTGCCCCCGGCACCCCCAGAAGGGAATGATAAACCACTTTTGAGTATTCTCTATCTGGAAAAGCCTGAAAAGGGTTTCCATAAGTCAGAATTGACTTGATGGCACATTATGATGATTATTTTAAACTGTTAAAGGTATTTCTCGTTTATGTTACTTTATATATTTTTCATAACTTTGTATACTCGTAAGTCCATAATATTTGGGCTCTTGCTATAGTCCTTTGGATACTTACTGGGGATTTTTGATGTAGAAAGACTTCTGTGTCACATCGTGTTTTGAAACATTTAGTTGTGCCTTTTTCCTGAAGCAAGCTGAGAGAGCCACCAGGGTGTAATCACATGATCAGGGTCCTCTGTATGCTATCACAGAAGATAAGATTTGAAGATGTCTCTTCATGAAGGAATCTCTGATAAGTTTCTTCCAAGAAATCTTAATAGGTGGGTTGTTTTGAAATACAAGCTAAATTTTGTAACATTTCCATTGCAGATTTTTGTGACTTAATTTTATTAGCATTGCCTAAGGGGCACCCAATCAGAATTGTCCAAGTCTTCATGGCCCTAATCTATATTACTCTGACTCGCCCATAATAAAGAGAAATATTATCTCACATAATCTGCAATCACAAGTAGAGCTAAGATTAATTTCTTTCAAGCAGATGGTGTCTTAGAAGATATTTGTTAAAAATAGAAAGTCTTATTTTCAGAAATATGTCAAAACTACATTTGTGTAGTTTTAATTTTTAATAGACATTTGGGTCTTTGTGATGTGTTGCTAAGAGAACTGATCATATCATATTATTTTATTGATTTGACTATATGCTTGACTATAAGCATATCTGACTATATGCTTGTCTTTTGTCATCACAATGGTTCCTTTAAATTTCATTGCTCCAACGTTCTGCTGTTGTTCAAACAATGAAATTGACATCAAAGATTTCTCAGTGATCTGTGATCCTCAGGATTATTAGTGATGGGACCTTATGAATATCTGTCAAATCCTACATGTCATATTTTAGCTTTTGCTTTACCCAGGAAAAGAAATAAAGAAACCAAGAACTGACAAAATTAGATAGTTACAGAACATCTTGAACACATTTTTATTCTGAGGTACACAAGATATAAAGAGGGACAGTTTCAGGTTATAACAATATCAAAACATTTAGAATCCAACCATCAACTACTTCAGAGACCCCAAAATATATACTGCATAAAATAAAATTTAGGAAATTACTAATATTTAATGGAGTTCTGCGGAATGATCTAGGTTCTTTTACTGGTAATATTAACAGAGTCTGAAACAGGTGATGAACTTATAATTTGAAACAGCTAGCACTTCCAAATATTAGAGAGTTAGTAAATTTGAACTTTACTCAGGTTTAAGGCAAATTGTTAATAGCCTTAGGCAAGGATTAATTTCAGTATTGGCTCAGTGATAGACCACATGCTTTCCATGAAAAGGATTCCAGCTTCCATATCTGATGTATCTTGGGACAGGGGTGAAGTGAGGTTATGTGTCACCAATACAGAACTGATTATAGCGACCCTAACATGGTTTTTGAGTTGAGTGAGATATTTATGGAGATATTTTACCAGTTCCACCCTCTCACCCCTGAGTGAGTTTCCATGTCTGAGCAGGGATTCAGACTCAAGGCCTCTTCCAACTCAATTATTCTATGATTCTATAGGTCACAGCAAGTTAAGGAAACCTGAGGAGATCCTTATTATTTTTGATCTTGTATCTTCTTGAGTTTAAGCTGAATTGCACCTAGTCATTTCCAGCAGAGACAACAGATACTTGCAGTATGATATCTAGTATCTAGAGTAGACTTTGGTCTAGATGGGCGGGGTATAAATAATAAGTATTCATTGTAAACATCTAGCATTTCTCACTACATATATGGTAAAAGTCTTTATTGTAAAATCTTGAATGTCACTTTGTTTGTAATGTG